AGCGTGACTTTTGTAGGCGGTGTCCGTTTTGGGACCATAAGTACGTTTCGGAAATGTAGTGACCGTTTTGGATTGAACTCACCGCTTCTTCATGACGTACGGGGGATTTAAGCAATTTTTCGAACAACGAGCACTTGCGTATTTGGATTGTCGGCATCCAACGAATTGAGAGTAACTTTTACAGACGGTGTCCGTTTTGGGCTCATAAGTTCTTTTCGGAAATGTAGCGACCGTTTTGGTTTGAACTCACCACTTCGTCGTGACGTACGAGGGATTTGGGCCCTTTTTTGAAGAACGAGCACTTGCGTATTTGCAACGCTTGGATTGCCGGCGTTCGAAGAATTGAGCGTGACTTTTGCAGGCGGTTTCCGTTTTGGGCCCATAAGTACATTTCGAAAATGTAGCGACCGTTTTGGATTGAACTCACTGCTTCTTCATGACGTACGAGGGATTTAAGCAATTTTTCCAAAAATGAGCAATTGCATATTTGGATTGTCGGCATGCGAAGAATTGAGCGTAACTTTTCATACGGTGTCTGTTTTGGGCTCATAAGTACTTTTTGGAAATGTAGAGACCGTTTTGGGTTGAACTCACCACTTCGTCGTGACGTATGAGGGATTTTGGGTATTTTTCGAATAACAAGCAGTTGCGTATTTACAACACTTGGATTGCCGGCGTTCGAAGAATTGAACGTGACTTTTGTAGGCGGTGTCCGTTTTGGGGCCATAAGTACGTTTTGGAAATGTAGTGACCGTTTTGGATTGAACTCACCGCTTCTTCATGACGTACGAAGGATTTATGCAATTTTTCGAAGAATGAGCACTTGCATTTTTGGATTGTTGGCATGCGAAGAATTGAGCGTAACTTTTACGTACAGTGTCCGTTTTGGGATCATAAGTACTTTTCGAAAATGTAGCGACCGTTTTGGATTGAACTCATCACTTCATCATGGCGTATGAGGGATTTGGGCCATTTTTCGAAGAACGATGACTTGCGTATTTGCAACACTTGGATTGCCGGCGTTCGAAAGAATTGAGCGTGACTATTGCAGGCGGTTTCCGTTTTGGGCCCATAAGTACATTTCAAAAATGTAGCGATCGTTTTGGATTGAACTAACCGCTTCTTTATGACGTACGAGGGATTTAAGCAATTTTTCGAACAACGAGCACTTGCATATTTGGATTGTCGGCATGCGAAGAATTGAGGGTAACTTTTACAGACGGTGTCCGTTTTGGGACCTTAAGTACTTTTCGGAAATGTAGCGACCGTTTTGGATTGAACTCACCACTTCGTTGTGACGTACGAGGGATTTGGGCCATTTTTTGAAGAACGAGCACTTGCGTATTTGCAACGCTTGGATTGCCGGCGTTCGAAGAATTGAGCGTGACTTTTGCAGGCGGTTTCCGTTTTGGGCCCATAAGTACATTTCGGAAATGTAGCGACCGTTTTGGATTGAACTCACCGCTTCTTCATGACGTACGAGGGATTTAAGCAATTTTTCGAACAACGAGCACTTGCATATTTGGATTGTCGGCATGCGAAGAATTGAGC